TGGCTGAGCCATAGCGGGCGGATGTGAGGTTCTGATTTTGGATGATTGAGACTTTCTACTGTTACTGTCTTGAGGTGATGAATAGGCGCGTTGAAGTAAACTGGCTCGTACTCATTCAGTACGCCGGCAGTCCGTGCACTCAGAAACTGTTGTAGACTGGACTTGTAACTCATTGACACGTGCGTCTTTACTCTTTGATTTGCACACGGAACCGTAATGCCCTTCCTTCCCACACTTGAAGCACTTTGCCTTCTTTGCGGGACACTCACTTTTGGGACGTGACGGTTTCGCTTCATAATAGAAACAAGTTTCCCTCTTTGACCTTCCCCGTTTCTGATCACTGGAAGCTGCTCTTTGTTGCTGCTGTCTGTTCCGGTTGGCTCTTGATTGCCTGTTTCCTTGGAGTTTATGAACTTCCATTTGTAGTGGTTCGCCTTTGAATTCCGGTCGCATATAACCAACTTGGTATGTTGTGGCGTCCTGATTCTGAGCGATTTCTATTGCCTCTTCTAGCGTCAATTCGGAACCTTTTTCAATGCATTTGTAATATACCTCTTTGGAGCGTAGTCCAATAACTATTGCATCCCGAAGTAGTCGGTCGCGGGCTTCTGGAGGATATTCACACTGGTTGCACAGAATAGTGGCTTTGTCAATGTACTCTGCAAGGCTAAGATCACCTTGCTCCAGGCGGCGGAAGTTTGATGCGTCTGCGAGTGCATTGGATTTCAGCTTTGTCTACTCCACGAACTTTTTAAACAGCACGCTTGGATCTCCCTTCTCTTCAGTGGTGAGATTCAGTGACTTAATATGTGTTCTTCCAGCTTTTCCTGCCCAAATAAGAACATAATTTGCTTTCACAGCTTTGCTCTTCGAAGCTAGCGGACCATTCAAAAGAAGTTCGCATTCCTCAACCCAATCCAAGCACTTTTGGTAACATTCGGGGCCCGGCGTAAAGTTTCCTTTCGGCGCTGGTAAATGCTCCAATTCAGCCATTGTAGATTGAGAGAGTTGATGTTTCGAAAGCTGGCGGTGATCGCTGTCGACGTTAGTCTTGGCTGGGTTTGTTAAATCCTGACACCATGTTAACTACTCGGTTCTGTAAAAACAAAGTTTTTTATTCGCGCACACACTAATCCAAGTAGTAAAAATGTAGAGCCAAAATTCACGAGTTTTATACCTGCTAGCATTTTGCATATATTACGGTCACGCTACAATGTACACTAATTAGCAACGATTCTATTTTGATAAAACGTGAATGGCGGCGTGAATTGCTGATTATGCGACACGTACCTGTTGGGGACCGGTGATTAGTTACCTCCTTAGGGAGTGGTCGGACGATTTTAACTGCGAAACCTGATTATAATTTTCCTGATCTTTCTAAAGGCTATTCAGTATTTTAATGATGCCCCTTCATTGACTGGCAACTTTTTTTTTTTTTTTTTATATTATGGTTTATTCTTTGTTCCCAGTTAGCAACGACTGATCCCCTGTAGGATCTTTTTTAAAACCATTTGATGCCCCCTGAAATCCTCCGGTACCCGTCATAAGCTATAAAATGAGATCATTCACTTGACTCTGATGATGACTTCCGCACAGGTTGTCGAAACGTCAGTCACTACTACCGACCACCGTCTTCTCAGAACTACACCCACCCGGACGATCAGACTACACCTTCAAAATAAGATTGCTTTTGCATTAAGTGCTTGTCTTTTTTTTAAATTAGTACTCTCGATTTTGCTTTTCTTTCAGTACGAAAATGGGCTCGGTAACGTTATCAAGAGTGCTTAGTTGAAGTGTCAGCATCTTGATTCTTCAAAAGGAAAGGGAACATAACAACAACTAAAACAGGCTCGTGAAGGCGCATCAGAATTGCCATTGATCCAAATTATGGTTGAATCCGAAAGTACAGAAAAGGGAAGGAACATAGTTTGTTTCTTCTTTTTTGGCATTTTGTCACTCGTCTATGATGAAATTTGCCTCATTGCCGCTGAGGACATTCTTGCAGGATCAACGGTGGCCACAACTACAGTCATTTTATCCATTGCTATTCCCGTGCTCTGTATCAAGCTCGCAGCTCCCTGGTTTCTTCAGCGCATTTCTTATTGGAAGAAAATCATGTTCGTCGTCGTATTTTTTCTCGGAGGATTAACAACGCTTGTCAGCTCCCAGCGCATCTTGGGAAGACTCGCAGGAGTGGGCGTTATAGAGTCTGGCGTGGCTACAAGTGAAATAACCTTTCTGTCTCTTACAGCGTTCTACGGGCACATAACAGTAAGCTCCTTTGTGGCTGGTGTTGGGTTATCATCTTTCATAGGACCCCTTTACTACACAAGTATGTGGCGCTAAAAAAACCATATTTGTTTTTGGTTCTTTGTTATTGTTTTCTTATCTTAGCCTTCAAAATATTATATAATGTCTTGAAGCCTTCAACTTCCCAAGGTAATTAACATACAACTTCTCCCCACTTGATATCCATACATGACTATATCGATATAAAACCAAATTCTCTTAACTAATTCATAAGGAAATATGCAGCAGCTAGAGAGGAGAATTGACCATTGCAATTAGATATTGGTTTAATTTTGTTTCATCTTGCTTCGTTTTGCCTTTGTCTTACTTACGGTCGTGTGTTTGCTTGTGTGTTCGTTTGCTTGTTTGTTTGTTTCTTTTTTGAGTCAGAATCAAATGTAGGAGAGAAAATCTACCCATAAATCATGTGAGAGTGATCGTTAGAAAATAACCGCTCAGCCTCATTTTACTTACAGTGAATATGCTACCCTAACACTTACTCGGTGCATGATGCCAATAGATATAAAAGCTTTGCAAAGTGCTGTTCGTTTCGTTTTCGTTAGAAGCGAATCAAATGGGGTAACTAGTTCTTGGAAAACAATATTTATGTTCCGTATGATGCAGGATCCTCGCAGTAGAGAGCGCTATTCATGCAATAGCGAAAATCAGACCTGAAAAAAATCAGGCCTGTACGGGATTCGAACCACTGACCTCTGCGATACAAGTGCAGCGCTCTACCAATTGAGCTAACAAGCCAACTGGGAGCAGGCTGTTAAGTTGATTCGTAATAAACCCGTGAAAGTGATAAATCAGATACAATGTATATATGAAGTTCATATACAGGCCGTACAGGCCTGATTTTTTTTCAGGTCTGATTTTCGCTATTGCATAAATAGCGCTCTCTACTGCGAGGATCGTGCATCATACGGTATCTACAACCGCAGTTCAAAATATATGAACTTCATATATATGCTTTGTATCTGATTTATCATCACGGGTTTATTAAGAATCAACTTAACGGCCTGTTCCCAGTTGGCTTGTTAGCTCAATTGGTAGAGCGCTGCACTAATATCGCAGAGGTCAGTGGTTCGAATCCCGTAAAGACCTGATTTTTTTTTTTCCAGGTCTGATTTTCGCTATTGCATAAATAGCGCTCTCTACTGCGAGGATCGCGCATCATACGGTATCTACAACCGCAGTTCAAAATATATGAACTTCATATACATTCTTTGTAACATTTATGTTATTTCACTTGATTGGCAGGTCTTACCACGTGGTCTTGTTTGCCACCCCGCAGCACCATTATGATAACTATCCCTTGGCCCTTTCTACTGATACTTTTCTACGCCCTTCTGGATAAGGAGCCTATCCGTAAGAAACAGACCATAGCGAGGAATGAGGACCATCCGTTTGTAGAAGACAATACACAAGTTTTCACATTTTTGGACAGATTAACTGTAGCCAAGAATATTTTTCCATATATAATATTCCTTTTTATAACATATTTCTCAGAATATCTTTCGAATCACGCTGTTATAACCACTTTAGGGTTTCCAAATGCGCCTTTCAAGCCGAGAGACCATTATCCTTATTACATACTTTCGTATCATGTTGGTAAGTTCATGGGCCGGTCCCACTTGTTTTTAGTTTCCGCAATCGATCCTAAACTAGTTCATTACATCAGGGTCAGACGAACATGGATCTTAGCCTTGATAGCGTTTCTGCACGGCTTGTTTTTCTTCCTAGCTTCGTGGTACAGATTTGTCCCACGGGTAGAGATTATTATTGCTTTGTGTTTTACAGAGGGATTTACGGCAGGATCCATGTATCTTAATTCCGCTCACACTATTTCTGAATTGATGGCAGATCAGGAGAAAAAAGAGTTCGCGTTGAGTTTGCTTACGGTTGGTAACGCTTGCGGCAAACTGGCCGCCGGATTGTGCGGCTTGTTTCAAGAACCTCTCCTAAAGAAACACTGTGTTGAAGATCTCAAGCTGGGAGAATATTGTTTAACAAGACATACGCGCAAAGCAGGCTGGAATAAAAGCTTGAATTGTTGAATGTTCTATTTGCCTTTTTGTGTCCGGCCATGAAATCGGCGAACGTATTTGCTTAAAAGAAAGGTGGGAAGAGAAATGTGGGAGGGGGAGAGGGGTGAGTATTTGTACAACTTCTTTCTCAGTGTTTAGTCTCCTGTCTTATTTTCTCGTTTGGTCTCGTCGTGTTGAATCCTTCCCTCTTCACATTGGTGATCCATCTTTTTTTCCTGTAAGGGTGGGGTGGGTGGGGGAAGTGTAGGGAAGGGGGAACAGTGTTAATACCTTCAAAGCAGCTTTTAAAGGAAATTATGTGAAGCTTTCTGTCGAATTTGGGCGTTTTAGATTACTTTTTGCGTATTTCTTTGTTTCATCAGCACTTTCCAGTCAATGTCTTGGGAAAGTATCTTCGATGACCAAGATTAGTGAAATTAATAAAAGAGAAAGAGTCAAAAATCGTGAAATAATTTAGTTTTAACAATTGAGTTGATCAAGTGAATTGGGCACTGTGAAGAGACTAAAGGGAATTTGCCTTTTGTCAAAGCCAATGATTCATTCTAATAAGGGCTATTGCTTGAAGAAAAATCACCTTTAGAAACTCTTTATGGTGGTCAATTCAAATGTAAACTCAGTTGATAAAACTGAATTATCTTTTATACTCCCACCAATGCAACACCACACTTTCTTTAGAAACTCTTCCCTTTATTCAAAAATCACTAAGTCTACCTACTTCCTTCATATTTAAAGCAGGAGTGTTTAGTAGAGCCCAAAGCTTCAGACCAGATTGTGAAAATAAATACCATAATTCACATTTTCTTAATAATAATAATAATAATAATAATAATAATAATAATAATAATAATAATAATAATAATAATAATAATAATAACAGGAATGAAAACTATCATTACTCCAGACAGGTGTGAACTTGAAAGATCCATGTTAAGTGAGTGTTTGAAACATGGAAAACTTTCTTCTTATCATTAAATACCATTGCATTATATATTTTTGAACATTTAAAATATCTTTTAAACAGCCAGAGTAGGTAATGGAAATAATTTTGTTTGCAGTCTTGGAGGCTGGCTCTTCTCAGTGAAAAGCATGATACATAAACTATGAATATTGGTTAACCTTCTACCTCCCACAAGTGATTAACCTGTAACTTCTCCCAATAACAACCATACATGATCCAGCAAACAGGTAATGAGAATACTGCAACTTATCAGGTAGTTTTTATCTTAATCTAAAACCATGTTCTCGTTACTGATTTACATTAGGAAATGCATAACAGCTAAAGGGGAGAATTAACAATCAGATCTTGGATTTTAGAGGATTTAAACCTCCTTTGCTGGAGAATAATTTGATGAACCTGTGTTGACCACTTTTAGCAGTAATGTTGTAAATCCTTCTTAATCCCAGAAAACACTGACTCATGCTCCCTATGAATGTGAAGACCTAAAAGATTTTTTTGCATCGGATAAAACCAATACCTCAATTCTGCTGAAAAGCATCTGACATTCAGTAAACTCAGAGTCTGATGCAACAAGTCTCTTTGAGTAAAATATCACTGATGCTGCAATGTGTTTATTACCTTGAATGACTGTAATGTCATTATTCATCTTTTGGAGATACTGTAGTCTGTTATAGTTTGGTATTACTGGCATACATTCATAAAACAACCTTCATCATATAAGCACTTTGATTGGTTCTTACCTTTGAGGTAATGGAGGACAGATGCATGAAGGATGTCACCAATAACAATTTTTTGTTTGTTTGTTTTTTTTTCTATCGAATAAAAAAATTTATTATATAGATACTGATGAAATACCAGGATTTCTCCTTTAACTAAAAAATCATATCTTCACTGCGTGCAGTGAATATACTTTTTTTATCTTTCACGTGTGAGGATATTGGTGTGGCCATGGTTACCAACATAATTACCCAATTACAATAGAGCTTCTCGCTCAGGCACGCGGTCGGTTGATTTGAAATTTCATCAGTATCTATATAATAAACAGAACATTACATGGCTGCTTGGGGATACGAATTTCATCTTCTTGTGCTGAAATTATCTCTCATGAGTGAGCACAGCTCACTCGTGAGAGACACTGTACTTTCAGCACTCGAAGATAAAATTTGTATCCCCACATGGCCATGTAATATCCTCTATATATTACATGTTGTCATGGGATCTGTTCAGTAATACATCACAGAAGATGTCAAATGTGGTAAAAACATTAGTACCACACTTTGCTGCGCCTCATGCACCACTCTTTTGTTGCTATCAACTTTTGACATCATTTGTAATCTATCACTAAACTGAAGCACAGAAACATGGAAACTATTTGTTTAATGTAAGTAGAGTATGGCTTAATGTTCTTTACATGAATTTCTAAAAATTATTGCCTCAAGCAGGTTTTAACTCCTGTTCTTAATATAACAGTATCCAAAAGTAATCATTTGAGTGTGCATTTGTTGAATAAGTTATAAAAGCTCAGTCAACAATATGGCCTTTACTAGTAATTTCTTACCATTTGCAGTTATAGTTACACCTGATTTTGAGCGTAACACTTGACTTAATATTGCTAGATTGCATCAACTGTTAAGGTCAGTGGGTTTTAAGTTGGCTGAATTTGGATCCATTAGATACAAATCCTTCAAATCAATGAGAGTTTCTACTGTAAACTCACTGTTGTGTAAGGATTTTGAGGAATATGATGCAAATGAAGACTCTCTTGGTTACTCAGGAGTAAGTCATACACAAAATGGGTCCTTGAATGGTCTTCCAAGGTCAGAGGGATTAATAAAAATTGATTTAGATTCTGCTAATTAGAAACTCCTTCACCTGCAACCCAGGGTTGTATGTTGAAAAAAGAAACTTGTGACTTCAGTACTCAAACATCAGCAATATCCTGGAAGGTTGGTGTGGATCCATCTAATCAGAAATCTCTCTGATTGCTGGGAGTTTCTCTAGTTGACTCACTGTCTTACAAAGATGTTAACGAAGACAAGTCAAATGGAGACACATTTGGTTACTCAGGAGCATAACAGCCATATACAAATTCATGACAATAGGTCCTTGAATGGTCTTCGAAGGTCAGAGGGATTGGTTTTCCACAACACAAAATCAAAGCGACACATTAATCCCAGCAAACAACTCATTAGCAAAGCAGGATGCATTGTACAGTGACACATACACGAAGCCTGTAAATGACAATACCTTCATACTAGCAGTAAGCAATCCAAGTAACTTGGTAATTATTGGAATTGACAACACAGGGACTAAGGATAAGATGTAATTCATGGACGTCAGCATACATGGCCACAACCTTTCAGTGAATACATTACCTCTGAAATATGAAACTTCAAGCCTTTGTGTGCATCTTTGTCCTTAGAACACTTCTGTGTCCTAAACATTTCTTCAGAAACTCGTAAGTGGAGTTAATTATTCCCCAAGACACCAGAGCACGTGTGTAGTTCAGTGAGACTCCATAGAAGAGCCGTCGTGTTCTCCTTCCTCGTTCATTAAAAACTACTGTGAAAGCTTTCACACAGTTGACAAAATCTCCACCCAGCTGTTTTTGCATGTGGCTTTTAACAACATTAACTGGAAAGAACAAGGTGCTCAGACAGGCCCCTAACACAGCTCCACTGACAAAATCATTGGCTGCGTTTCCAATACTAGTTTTTGCTTCCGGTAAAATGGACTTAATTGGCCCTCTCAGGCCAAAGAATAACACATTAGAGGGTCCATTTCTCAACAATATCGGAGTGAACCCTCGATAATATTCTCGTAATCCATATTGCATTCCTATGACTTTGAAAGCATGAAATGTGTTAACAAATCTCTCGTTGTGGCCACGATGAGACATCAAAGTTTGCACTCGTTCAAATGGTGTGAAAAGTGCTTCTATCGTTCCAGCTAGCATTGCTGCTATTGCACTAGTAGCCACTGGAGAAGTGTTCGTTAAATTACGAGAGAGCATTCTTTGGAACTTGTGGTATGAACCAAACATAATTGCCATTGAAGTTCCTTTTTGCATCAACGGAGGAACAACTCCACGATAAAGGTTCCACACGCCTTCTCTCAGCACCTGGCGCACTGCATACCGAATCCTCAACCCCTCAACTTGCTGCCGAAACATAACTTTGTGGGCGGGGAAGGTCGAGAGAATGTTCACGGCAGCTGCTCCAGCTCCGAAAACAAAATCAGGCCAGTCTCTGTCATCTTTTTTTGAAGGATCAGACGGAGACCTTTCTGTTGACTGTGTAGAGTTTAAAGCCATAGAACAATGACCTTCTCCAACACAGCTTTTATACCACAACTTAATGATTCACGGCGCCATATTGAATATTTACCTATAGCCTTCCCATAGTGCAACGCTGTAGTATTTTGACGTCATGACAACAGTGTGATTGTAAAACAATATGGCGCTGAGATAGTAAGCAGACTGTTTTCAGCTATATTACGATGGGTTTGTGAAAGATATGGCAAACAATACGGTGTTTGAAGGGTCGTATTAGACACGTAAGTCATATTTAAGCGATGTCTGGTCAATTAGGCTCGCCGAATCAGCTGATAACCACCTTAGATGAGGACGGACTCCAGGAATTGTACACTTGGATCGATGAAATTAATTTATCTCGCCCAAAGCGTAACATTTGGAGAGATTTCAGTGATGGAGGTAAATGTGATCATTTCTTATCCCTGTAAATCATACAGGCATTGCTAATTTACTACATGGAGGTGGTTGTGCTCGCTAATATCTAAATGACGCTAAAAAAATTGCCGTCTTTTCGTCCCTAGAATAAACATCGAATCAAAAGATCATTACGTATCCATTAAGGACTTTGTTTGTTGACATTATCATGTCACTGTTGTGGATTTATAGTACATTTGGTTATCTTTCTTATCACTAAGAGGTTAATTTTTTTCTTGAAAATTTCGGGACATTTAAATTTGACACTCAAAATTTTTGATCGAATCATGTTAGCGATGATTTGATTTCACATGGCCTCCTTGGAGCATTTTATCAATTCGCTTGTAGAGATGATTGCCGAGGATTAAACGCGCCCTGTCTAGTTGATGGAAACAGAATATAGAAAAAAAGGGCTTTCAATTGATATTTGATCGATAGAACATAGTTAAATGGTATCGATTGGTACATGTATAGGTCAATCATGATTGATTAATGAACAGTTGTGCCAACGATCGGCCCTTTTTGCAATGAGCTGACTAAATCAGTTAATGACTCTACCAAAACTGTAGACAAAGTTCTATTAACAACAAGATGCACTGAAAAACAGCAAAGCATTTGTTGACCACAAAGCCAACTGTAAATTGCATGGAAACTGAACACAATCTATTATGTGCTGTTGGTAGGAAAGGTTACAAGTCATGCGATATTCAACCCCCTCAATTAAAAGTGTTGCCTTGGCTGTACTAAGCTAACTGAAATTTAGAGTGATGTTCTGTAGTCCTTATTTGTTTCAGTACTTTGAATGCTTTCTTCTATATATCATTGATACTTTTTGCAAATAGTCTACATTGTATAATGTCTCAGTTGGGTACCATTTCTCGTTTGTTCAGAGGATCTTGCTTTAATTCTTACAGCTTAGAACTTTTCTACTATTGTCAACTAATTTTTCACTGTTCAATTAAATGTGGAACAAAATAGAAACATCAACACAAAAACGCACCAATTCTGTTCCACTTTGCATAATTCTGTCATGCAATCCCTGTAAATAGATATCTGGGAAATTTGCCCCCGCTGAAATATCAGTTTGGCTTGTAGGATGATAAATATCGTATTAGACATTTTTGTGTGTCATATTGCTCAGTATTTTTTCCTTGTTATTTGTAGTTTGACTTGCCCTACGGGCTTGTCAAAATACAGCATACCTCTTAAAAAATACTGAGCAATACTACACACAAAATGTCTAATAAGATATATGTATCAGCATTACCTGATGACACTGAACTCCATTTTGATTAATTCCAGACATCACAGAAAGGTCACTGAATAATTGTTTATTATACACCTTAGATTTACAGCAAAAAAAATTTGCTTTTACCGGAGTTCCATACAGTCTGTAGGGGGCTATCATGAGCTAATGTTGATCTGCATGGGTAGCCACTGACAGTCAGCACAAGATTCATTTCATAAATTATCCACTCAGGGATTTATCCATATTATTAACAGTCATGTGTACATGTATAGATGTCAGTGGAAGGTTGTACCAGTCACAGAAATGTTGAGTTTGTAAAAATCCTATTGGCATGCAATTTCAAATAATATTGTTAAAAAAAAACAAACAAACAAGCAAACAAAAAATGGAAAAACAAAACTTACTCCTTAGAGGATTACTGGCTTATAATTTCTCTTGTCAGTATTACCCTTGAATCACATGTAAAGGTCATGAAAATTAAGGAAAGGAACACCAATTTAAGAAGTCCTTGGTTGTCAAACAAATTCTCCTTGCCAGTATCATAGGAAGAATAAAGAGAACAGTGGGGAGAATACCACTTCCCATGTGAAGGTGTAGAGAGTTAAGTGGGGGAGTCATGAGAAAAGAGGGCAAGTGATGGGTAATGTACTCTAATCAAACCTTTAATCTGACTAATATTCTTTAGATGGAAAGTTTAAGGGAGCATATTTGCTTTGATTTTTCAGTTCTTGTAGCAGAAATTGTAGCACACTTTCTACCCAAAATGGTGGAACTCCACAACTATTCGTCCACAAGTTCACAAGCCCAAAAGCTAACCAACTGGGATACTCTGAATAGTAAGTACATGCTGACTGTATCTTGGAATTGTGATACTTT